CTTCTTCAATAATCTGTTCTTCTAATATTCTTTTATCACATTCCCAATATTTAGTTTTTAAATTCTCATTTATATACTGTAATTTTCTATATCCTCTTTCAGTACTTTGTTTCCTTTATATAATTTCTCATAGAATTCTTGAAAAATCTTCAATTTATCTTTCATTATATTGCGCCTCTTGCCTGTTCTGCCTTTAATTACCCCAATCGTGTTTTTAATCTTCTATTTTTGCACATTCTAGCTAATAATGTTGAGTTTTAATTTCTTCGGACAAACGCTGGCTCTATGGCTTGGAAACAGGGATGAGCACTGCCCCCTAAAGTCGAACACGACTGGACAAAAATTGTCAAGGGGAACCTTTACCTTTACCTTTACTTTCTAAAAAAACTTGCTTTCCGAATTTCCCAATTCTCTTTCGTTTTTTCACATTTATCTCCTTAATATTTTTTTTTCAGTTTACAGGATTCCCTTATTGTTATTCCTCTCTAAACTGATTTCATCGTGTCCCACAACAGGCCGAATTTCATACCTCCTGCTTCATTTATTGTCCATAATTTTAACCATTCTTTCTTTATCTTTTTGCTATTACCTCTGGGTACTGGAAAATGTTAATATCCATTCTCCATCTTTTAGAGTCTTTATAATCTTTTTTAATCTCAATCTTCATTGACATCAAAACATGATCTGTTATTTTTATAGAATTAATGTCGATGATCTGTTATTTCTATAGAATTAATCTCGGCATTATCTATCTTATGAATTAAATCTTGAGATGTGAATATGAAATCTATTCTGGAATAACTATTATATACTGCTGAAAAATAAGTATATCTCTCATCACCTTTCATTACCCTCTGTAGTGAACAGCCCTGCCCTCTCCTGTCCGTCACAGCAGAACAGTGAAGAAGGAGCCTATGAGTGGGTGGAAGGTGGAGCCAAGGGGGGAGGGAGTGGGATATAAAGACTAGTATATGGGATGGAAGGCGGAGCCAAGGGGGGAGAGAGTGGGATATAAAGACTGGTATATGAAGTCTGAAAGAGTTCCTGTGAGTGAGAGACTGTATGTAACTTGAAAATGTCTGGAAAGTGAGTTACAGGTCTGTAAGAGCCTAGATTGAAACAGAGGGTTAAAAGAGTTTTAAAGTTATATCAGATTTGATTCAAATACAAGTGACTGGCAGCCTGTGATTTATCCCATGAATATTAATTGTTTATTTACTTCTCTGATCAAATAAAAGACTTAAGTTTTGAACATCACACATGTCTCTATAAGCAATTGACATTAAAGAATTAATATCTGGTGGCAGCAAAGAAGGAAGAAGAGCGAGAACCTCGTGAAGGCCTGGGGGTATAGGGACTTCAGAGGAGATTGCCACACCCTCCAAATATTCTTCAAGTGGTTATTTTTTACCTTCTTGTTCAATATCGTGTTTCTTTGGAGAACATCATTCCAATCATAAAGTTTTATCCTTTATCTTATCCATAACCATATTGAAGTCCCCTGCCATAATAACATAACCCTTCTTTACCTTCTCCATTTCTTTAATAAATGTGTCATAAAAATCTCCTTGTTTATTATTAGGTGCGTAAACATTAACCAAAGTATATTCTTCCATACCCATTTTACCCTGTATTATTATAAATCCACTATTACAATATTTTACTACCTATTTCACAGTTTTTAAAAATTATGATTGCCACACCTCTATATTCCTTGAACATCTCATGTACTTAAAAAAAACCCATTAGGACTGCCACAGGTCAGGAGCGACATAAAAATTTACACTATGACACTTAACAAATACTCTAGCAGTCAAGACATGAACACATATTTCCATGAACACATTATCAACCCGTTCCATTAACCAAATTGCATGATTCAGTATGGAACAGCTGTCTACGGAGATTTCTTGAGGCAACTGGCTTCCAAAATGTAAATCATTTGCATTATGTTAGTGCAACTAGGTGAGAAGACTTTGATGACTTTTTTTCTCAACTAGAGTGCAGACAGCAATTACTCATTCTTTCTTTAACCCATCCTCCCCAACAGCTTCCATGCCTTACATCACAATCTTGAATATATTTGCTCCCTATAACAAAGGTGATCTAACTGGGATCATGTGATCAACCTAGAACAGTGGTTCCCCAGATGTTCTTGGACTGCAACTCCAAGAAATCCTGACCAGCACAGCTAGTGGTGAAGGCTTCTGGAATTTTAGTTCAAGAACACTTGGGGACCCAAGGTTGGGAGCCACTTACCTAGAACCTAATGTAGCGGGAGGATTTCTACAACATTTCACATTTTCTCTGCAACCTACATTTGAACCCTAAGCAGGTTCAAACCTAGTATTGAGTAATCTGGTCTTTCTCACCAGATGACTGATAAAAATGTTCAGATCCACCCATAAACTCAAACATAGGTTACAGGAAAAAGTATGATGTGTCATAAAAATCCTCCCCCTACAATAACTGTATGTCACTTATACAGTGATGAAATTTCTTACCTAAAGCCACTAGCTTCATGCAAGATACACAGAATAGCCTTGCAAGAGTGGCACAAAGGCAACATAAAATTCAAGAAACCAAGCTGCATTTCATGAAAAGGGCCTCTTAACACCCTGATGCAGAAACCCATTAAAGCTGCAACAATAATGATGAAAAAGTTGATCTACACAGCATTACACCATAAGTTCTTACTGGGAGCACAATTAGAGAATGATGGCTGGGCACTAAGAGACTGATGGAATAAAAGGGGGAAAGAAATCTCAAACCCAATCACCTGGGTAAGATAATGAAAAATACACTCATCCGCTACTTTACATTAACACTACTTTTAATCATCTTTGGACAGTAGTACTGCAGTTCAAATGTATATTTACATTAAGTAACAACTCATCAGCATGAATCCTTTTGTGTCATGAACACAATCACCTCAAACCCCAAGACCACACTGTGGATCAGAATGGGAAGGATGATTCTCAACATGATAATACTATGGATTTTAGCTACTCTCTTTTATTGCAATAACAAATGAGTGCATACTTTATAGGAAAGCACTGCTAATTTTTCACTTAGAGAAAGATGTTTTGCCTTTTCTGAGAAAATGTAATGGGTAGCTGGGGAGGAAGGAATAATTCTCATTTAAAAATTAAGACACATGATATATCATCTGCATCACCACTGGATGTATCTGTCACCTCCTTCTGTATCCGGGGCTAAGGCTCTGTCCCTTTGCCCAATAAGGCCATTCTCCTATATGAATTTTGGGCTATGTTACAGATCAAGCATAACAACAAGAATGGGGAAAGGAAGACAACCCCTCTTAGGTCTTTCCTGGTACACTAGGCACCTGCATGGAGGTTCTTTTCAGCAACAGTTTCCCAGTACTTTTAAATGACAGCCTGCTGTGCACAATAGAAGCCAAACACTGAGTGGAAATTACCCAGCACAGATGTATAAGATCCTTTACAATTACATAAAAATGCAACTCTAACTGAAGAGGCTCAGCCAATTAAAAGCAAACCAACCCACCAGCAGTGGTGCAAAGCTGTATATGCAGCAGCAATGGCAGCAGAGGGAAAAAAAGAAAAGAAAGAAAAATCTTGTCTCCCCAGTCCTCATCCCACCCCCTCAGTCCTGATCGCAGTCATCCCTCCCCCCTTGACAGTTTCTAGCAAAAGGCAAGCCGGAAACAGTTCGGCAGAATTCTGGCAGAAAAAAGAAAGCAAAAGAGGACAGCGCAGAAGCAAAGTCTCACTGCAGCACCTGCACTCTGAACTTAAGATTTCCCCAAACCCAATCAGCAGGTCAGCCTAATGGTGCTTTAAAGAATTTCCAAAGGAATGAAGAGGTATTTAAAGTAAACACGTGTCAACAACCTGTACATCATTTTAGCTCTTGTTCAGGTGGCTGGAAATCTCATACATGTTTAACCAAGAAGTAGGTCTCCTATATTCACCTGGGCTTTCCTTCAGGGAAGCATGCAGAGGATTCAGCCTCAGAATTACAGGGATGACAGCAGGAGGGAAGGAAAAGCTGACGGATGGAAGGAATGGGAAAAGTTGAAGGTGAGGGAGAAGTATGTCTCTGGAATTTGGAAAGTGAATAGCACAACCCTATACACAGGGCTTCTTTTTCAGGAGACATGCATAGGATTGCTCTATAATAAATGTAAACTATCAGAAGATGGCACAACATTCAAAATCAGAAAGCAATCTGATGATCATAATCCCCCTCTATACAGACAGAAAAACGTTCCCAAGAGATGATTAATGCTGCTGCTATCAACAGAAAGTTTCCAGGCAGCCACCATAGTTAGTATGTTCCACAGTGTGGAGGGTGTTCTTAAAAATATCCACAAAGTGGGAGGGGGGAGAGAAACTATTCTTGTCTGGTTCCTTTACTCCTTACCTAGACAAACCACAGCTATACTGCTGGTTGGCTCAAAAACAACATGAAGGAGCTTAACGAGAGAGAGAGAGAGATACTGTACTGTAATAAGATTGCAACTCTGCAGAATTGCAATCATAAGCATTCAAACATGGGCCAGGCAACTGTGCAGTTAAAATCATACCCACTGCTGGTTCCTTTGTCATAGGCTACATTACTTTTCCTCCCATTTCAATGCCAGGATCTGGCTCTGATGGCACATAGAAGGTGCCTCTGGACATGTGCAGAGTTTGGCTTCAAGTCGCCACCAGCAATGCTCAAATATAGTATGAAGAGCCAGATTAGGCAGAAAGTCTTAAGCACGGATAGGGCAGCTCCTCAGGGCAACTCTCCTTCTCAGCTGCTTTGTAAAGAAGGATGCAAGATACCCCCCCCCAGGTATCACTGACTGGAGGCACCCAAAGGTCATCTGGCCCCATTACTTTCCGATTCAACAAGAACGGACTGAGTGGCGGGAGGGTTTTGTTTGTTTTTTTAAGGTGGGCTCCAACCTTTGCGCCAATGGACCAAGGGCGCATCCCGCCATCGGCGAAAGTTCCTCCCGTACTTACACGAAGACGCCGAAGAGGAGGACGCGTATCCCGACCTCGATGGCTAGATCCCGCATGGTTTGGTCCGACAGGAGAGGACAAGAAGGGGCAGCTACGAGCCACGCGCGGCGGGCGGCTTCAGAGCCCGGCGTTTAATCCCATGAAAGGCGGGAGAGCCGGGAGGCGGCGGGGATGG